AAAGACAAGGACAAAGAAGTGGAACGACACAAGGCGCTCGTCCCATTTCTTTGTCCTCGTCTTTTTCGGCGCTTTTAATTATTTAAAGACCCATGAACCAACTGGCCCAACTTTCCACTTTGCTGTAAGACAGGTGAGCGTATTTGAGTAAAGCATTGTTCAAGAACTTAGAAAACTGCTTAGTGCGCTATTGTCCGTTTCGGTTTCCGGTGGGCTGCAGAGGACATTACAATCCATCTAAGCCAATCCTATGTCGCGTAGGTATCACGTGACCTTCGGTTGAAAACCAGCGACGTGCGGGGCGCGTAGTCACGTGATATATTCGCAACGCTGGATGTTCTGGTACAACCGGGTCGTAGCGTCCGTTGCAGTCTATCGGAAGGTGAAACGCAGACTAGGCACAAGTCTGCTGCTCTTTCCGCTAGTTCGATTACGACGTTTGATGACGCAAGCTACAGCTATACGAAGACCTGTCTGGCGTGACCGCCGCCATCTTTTATTATTGCGTAAGTGAGAAGAAAGAAACGTATCGAAGCGATGAATTTTGAGGCCAAGCTTGCACCAGGTCGAAAGCGCGACAACAGCAAGTGCAGCAATGAGCTGCGATAACTAAATTACACCATTCGGCGATTGAAAGGTGTCCAAATTAAGCGTAATCATTTACCAATTTTCATTCTGTCCTAGTTCTTTGCAATTTTTTTTTCGTGTTATGTTTTCTTTATTACGTGTTAAAGACTGCGGTGACAAATTGATTTTTTCTGTCATTTAAATTAAATAAAAAACTGCGGGATTTCCAGTTGATCTCGCGCTCCTTCTATGCAAATATTGAAGCTGTCAAACACCGGAGAACGAATTTTTCACGCTCCTGATTACTGTCATTTAGTGTTAGACAAAATAATCGATAAAAGCATTTCAGTTAAGTTACTAAATACCTGCTTCATAAAGTATTTAAAATACTACGCAAGTTACTTTCGCTGTAAAGTATTTTGAGTAGAGTACAAACACTGATAAATGTATTTCGATTACTCTTGGAGATACTTCCGCATTGCGTAATTTGTATCGACCTTAGCGACAAACAGAATTATACAGTTGCGGAAATCAGGTTTACGAGAATGGTTTAGTAGCACGCAACAGAAGCTGATTCTCGAATTTCTCGTCGGATATCGAAGCTGCCGCATAATTTTGATCTACCTTGACAAGAGGCAGTACAATTGCCAAATGCGATACTAAACTCATTAGGATCTTTTATCTTCATTGTTGTTAGAGTGAAATAAATACATAGAGGAGTTGTTTCGAATGCAAATGTTTTGAGATAAAATTAAACAATTGTACATCTAGAGCTGAAGCCTGAAAGCAAGAATAAAAATGTAAACGCACCTTCAGGTGCTTCCGGATATTGAAATTTGAAGCTTTGCCAACGGAGAGTATCTTCGATAAGGGTGGATAACTGGGCGAGTTGTGTTCTCTTCGTCTCTGTGTGTCCTCGTCCCAGTCGCGCTGTATTTCAACATAGTATCTTCGCCTTGGGGAGGCATGGTTTGCATTTCACTTGCACATTGCTGCCTTTCTCTGACACACATTCAAAATCAGGTTTTATGCACGGCCACTGTAGGACAGAAACTTCGTCTTCCATCATGATGAGTGTGACAGCCTGAAAGTGTATAAGTATAGCAGAAGGGAAAGCAATTGAAGGAAGTGTTTTGCAGCCAAGTGAGTGTCGAGAAGATGGCTTTTATAATATCAGGGTAAATTGTGTTATGTTTTCGTGCTGACGAGGCCGCCTTGGGTCTCACGGTGTTTCGTGTCAGACAGCCGGCGGATGCGCCAATAAGTCAGAGATCAAGGCCTGATCGGAACGACTTATGATCGTCTGAGAAAGTCTCGTCTGACAACAGACGATACCTCTCGCCTGTTGTCAGGCGAGTAGTCACCGAAGCTTATTGCTGCTAGCAATAGGATTTGGTCGCTGGAAAGAATGTTCACGTTCCCTCGTGCCAGGCATGTGTCACTCCATACCAAAAAACTCAGAAAATAGTGGAATTTCAAAAATGTATTTGAGATAATGGGAACAAAATACTCAAAAATGTAATTAAAATACGGTATCAAAAACTCGCAATAAAAAGTATTTGCAAGATACAAAGATACTTCAAAAAGTATTTAAAATAGGTTTCTTGAGTAGAGTATTTGAGATACGCACAAGTCTGTTGTCATAGCGCTTTTTTCCAACGTTTACAAAACAAAGCAGGCGTGAAAAGGGTCACAGGGTAGTACGTATAGGAATTTCGGTCCCAGCTGGGAAGTCTATAAATTCCTTCTTGTTTCCATCAAATTTCAGGAATTAACAACTATTCAATACTGACCATTGAGACATGGTTTGCTGTATCGACTTCAATACGGTTTTGTGTTCTTTACCTTCAACGTCACAGCAAGAAAGAGACTCGGTGCAGGTGATCTCGTGAAACAAGATCACATGTGAGAACAAGTCGTTGGATATTTTGTGTAAAAACAAAAAAGCACGACAGAATATTGTTGGGACTGCTCGTTATGCCTTTTGTTCGCCGGTAAGAAAAGAGGCATAGATATTTGCTTTTGGGAACAGAAATATCTGTACAGAAGAAATCATAACTAGGCTTCCGTGCTTTCTTTTTTTCCCTTCGAATTCAGGGTGCGTTTTTTTTTTTTTCGGAATTTAGTTTTTTAAAAGATTCGGTGTTTTCCGGCGTCAGTTTTTGGAGTTGGAAAAAATAACCCGGCGTTTATCGGGGCTTATGTTTAAGAAAATACAACACAAGCACGGGATTCCTCAATCTCCAGACAATGTATAGGGTGTCGCCAGGGGACCTTCCACTGGAAAACAAGCCGGAAAATTGGGTACCTGCATGCCCGTTGGAAGCTCAAACGTTCACCAAATGTGCACGGAGCAGGTCAGTTTTACCGTGCGAAATTTCAAGACATAGTTATCTTTTTGTAGAAAGTGTGAGCGAAAAACTTGCCAAATTCAAGCCTGTGCGCGTTTGTAGACGACCGAGTAAGCGATGCTATTTACTTGTGGCGCCATTACCCGGTAGGCGCGGCGAGCAGACGAGCGAGCGCCTATTGAGAGGTAGTGCCAAACTCCATCGTCTGCGAACGCGGCCAACCTTGACTTTGGCAAATCTTTTACTCTCTTTTTTTTTTTACAGTAAGAGAATTACGTATTGAAATTTCACACGGTAACACTTACCTGCCCAGTGTACATTCGGTGAAAGTTTGAGCTTTCTATATGCAGGCACCGATTCTTCCCGCTCGTTGTACAGGCGAAGATCCGCCTGGGCCCTAATAACTGGAAAATGTGCCAATGCCGACAAGGGAAGAAAACGAAATAAGGTTTTTAACAAAGAAACATCCCCGTAGAGAGTTCAGTGCGAGCTGCGTTCACGGTCGACCCAAGAATTAAGCTATGGATAGAAATTTAATTCCCGTGAAACATCGTTATTTTTTTTTTTATATTTTTTCAGGGACAATTTAAACTTACAAAACTTTGCTTTCTTTTATTATAAAAAAGAAAATCCGGCTCGGAGGCTGATTTTGACGATTTCTCAGTATTTACCGAAAACACGGAACTCTATAATCTTATTCAGCTGGGGGCCAAACAAACGGCAAGGCTTTTGATCGCGTATATTACGTGCTGACATGATATAATGCTAGATACTTCATTTCACGAACGTATACTATGTTTCATGATGTGCGAGAGAAACAGGTCATGCTTTTGCGCAGTCCGATCGTTTTTCGAGTCAGCTCGCTTTTGTGGTGCCCGCATATGCAACCGTAGCCATTGGAGCACTACAAAACTCTCCGCAGGGATAGATTTTACGATGTAGTCAGGTTAAATTCCTCAATAATCCACCGCTGTTCTTTTATGGCCGCTAATCTACATAAAAAATGACTGAACGTGGCACTTGAGATTGCTTTATCATAGTACCGCAACTACTGTGTTTAAAGAGTTTGGTTTTCGCGAAAATGATAAATTTCACAATTTGGCCTTGACCACTTTTTAAACTGAAAGTTTCTGCTCGCAACCCTGAAGTGACGTTAGCGGCACGTGTAGATTCACGGTGTAGGCAGTATTAGATTTGTTTCCAACGCATTATAAGACGTCTTGTGGGATGAAATGAATGCCGCCAAAGCTCACACAAGCACTCACTCAGCAGCTCGGAACAAGTACATGACCAACTTTGTATTCTAAACTGCCTCCTCGACCTGCATGTCTTCCAGAGCCGGTGACGCCACGCCACTGGAAAGCGCGGAATGTTGTCTGCTGGCATCGCCGTCATTTGTCCTTTTCTAAATGGCTATCATGATTATAGAAGTACTAAATAGCATGTCAGGAAGAGCAAATCTCGGCTATTCCAATGTGCTGGTTTCGGGCCCGGTTCTTAGAAAAGCTGCTTACTGCTCCGGAAACTTCGGCGGTTTCGACCGTTGTAAATTTTGTCACCGTAAGATGCGCTAATTAATGTATAACAAAAGAAAAGTGGAACATAGTAATATGTTTAAAATTATATTATGAAAATGTTCATAATTTATTTTATCGCTGATGCAGCACCCCTTAGATGGCATTTCAATTGTTTCGAGATAGTATGACCCCTAAGTCTCAGCCACAGGTGGCTCTTACAATTGTCCATCTTTTCGACGGGTTTGTGGGGTTTTATGAAAAAGTAGACGTATTCAGCGACTTCCTCCGTGGTGGCTTCTCGGATCCCATGTCCGTCCGTTAGGTTATCCGAGCGATCTGATTGGTGGACTCTACGTCGGCAGCGCGCCTTTCTTGCTTCAATTTGTCCCCAGGGGAAACTTTCCCATAGCGTGACGAAACGACTGCTGACCAGGTAACCTAATGACCGTAGTATGGGTAGCTAAAAAAAAAAAAAAAACTTCGGGGTACCCCTTTAATCATCAGACATCGGGGGGGAAAATACAGACTTTGCTAGTTTTGATTGCGCCACTTTTCTCTCTGTCAGCTGCGAGTCCCACATCGGTCGCGTGGGCGGCCCTCAGGAGCTAAGCCTGGGCTCTGGATGTGTGTGGCACGGTACCATCCTGCACGAGTTCTTGCATGCGTTGGGCTTCGAACACGAGCACGCACGCATCGACAGGGACAACTACATCAAGGTGTACAGAAGCAACATCCTTGCTGGTGAGTCTCAGTCTCCTTGATTCACCCAAAACGTCCTTGCGGCTGCCTGTTCTTTTTTTTTTGGCTGTGTGTGATCTTCTGCCTGCCCAAAATGGCAGGCTTAATGGGGACGGATGACCGTGTTGTAACAACGAGATCACGCTTTCTTCGTTTGGCACACTCAGATTTCTCGCTCAAAGGCCGTATTTCAACTGTGTGAGCACCTCAAAGCGCTATACATTTAGGCACTCGCTCTTCAGGCCGCTTGCGTATCTGCGGCACGAGCGTCCGGGCAGCCGGGGCGCGATCAAAGCAAGGAGATCGCGTGTCGCTGCAGTCCATACATTAGTATACTTAACCAATATGGCGGTTTCACGTGACGTACTTCCGGCTCGAAATCTCACCGGACGCCATGTTGATGCACTTTCGCCCCACGTTTTCCTATGTGCGCTAGCCAGAGAGATGATACGCAAAGACAGGTAAACACGAGGGGGAGGGGTTGCAGTCATCTTAGAGAAATCGATTACTTGACATGTTATGAACGACCTACCGTGCACTGGAAGTATTTGGTGAAAAATTGCTTTTTGTTGTTCGGATTATGAAATTGGAGCAGTTTGTGGGACCCCTGATTCCCCGTTATCTGATTTGGAAGTTATCTATGATTACGTTGCTGCAAATTTCGTTAATAAATCAAAATATATACGTGCTGGTGATTTTAATTTCCCTAATATAGGCTGGGACAACAATGAAGAAGGTTCTGATAAATTTCCTTGATACTTATCTTTACAGGTAATGAGAACCAATAAAAATGACAAAGCACATTCTGCCGGAACAAAATGGCGTCATTCAGTTTAGTCTTCTGCCTGTGCGCGCGCTATTAGCTTCCTAAAACCTGCGCCGTCACGCAGTCGGCGCTTCAAAGGATGTCGCTACTGGTAGGAAGCTCTTATCTAGGAATTTTAGGTACTACCGATTCTAAGCACGCTCAAGTGCTGGTTGACATGGCATTTATTTTAAGATGACAAAAGTTGTAAATTAGGGTACAGGGGAAGGCAATGCAGCGTGTTCGATGTTGGACCTGCTTTTTTTTTAGCAGCCACTTGTGTAACTTTACTGTATCTGTACATGAAGGTATTTCGGACTACAATCTTGTTTCCTTATCTTGCAGTATTGCCTTGTCATCGAAAGCCACCAAACGCCCGGTCGCTGAGCGCATGATTTCTGTCACGCTGATGACGCCAGTGTATTGGATTACTTAGAATTGTCTTTATCTGGTTTGGATGGTGTGTGATGTAAACAGTTTGTGGAATTTTTTTAAAAAACGGTCGGTTAATTATTTGGAAACGTATGTTCCCAATAAAGTAAAGCACATACATTAAGAAAATCCTTGAATAACACGCGAGATTTTTCTCCTAAAGCGAAAAATAAGACGGCGACTGAACGCAAACTCTGCTACTAAGCATGACGTGGCACGTCTTTCAGATAAATTAAATACAAAAAAAAAAATCGGGATTCCCGGAAACAATACTTGGTGAGACTCTTCCGCAGTTCATGAACCAGCGCCGCAGGGGATTTGGAGATAACTTGCACCGTCTCCACATCAAGTAAATCACATTGTAGAGAACAACGTTGTCATCTCGGATCCCATTGCCATGGCCGAGAATTAAGTTCAATGAATATTAGTTCAATCTTTATTGATTCGAGTATTTCTCCAGTGAGTCATCTACAAAGTGATGACATTCATGTGGCAATGCCAGACCTTGTCATTTCTGAAACTGGCATCCTGTCACTTCTGTTTGATATTAATACAAAGAGGTCAATTGGACCCGACAACATCCCAAGTAAATTTCTCAAGCGATATGCGGAATGAGTTGCCAAGTATTTAACTACTATTTTCCAAGCGCCACTAAAACAACACAGTGTACCTGCAGAATGGCTGTGTGCCAAAGTTACACGTTCCGAACGCAGCTCTTGAGGAGGAGGAGGGAAGGGTACTGACGGGGGGGGGGGGGGGGGGGGGGTCACGTGACCCCCCTCCCCGAGGTCGCCGAAGGTACCCGGGGTCCACCCGAAGGAACCCGAAGTCCTCAGGGGGGAGGGGGGGGGGGAGGGGCGGGGGGGAGGGGGGGGGGGGGGGCTCGCGGTTACGCCGACGCCGCTCCAGCCGGAGACGGGCGCCTAAGAGCTGCGCTCTAAAATTCAAAGGCAGGCGGCTCGCTCTATTCTGTCCCGGCATAGACCTTTTTCACAAGGGCCCCGTCATCTTGGATTGTCGTCACTTCCAGTATGGGCGAAAACATTGTTTTGCCGTCGCCACGCCAATAGAATGCATTTAGCAGATAAGCGTAACCGTCACCCATTCTCGTTTTGTCTCCCCTCTATTTTTTACTATTTGCAGGTTGAAACGTTTTAATATTTTTTCGTCGCCCATACCGGATGTGCCTTCTTGGCGGTTGGGGGCGAGAGTAAGCGGAAAAGGTCTATAGTCGCCTAGACTCGGTTACTAGTATGCTTGCACAGCTTAAACTTCCTCCTCTTTACATTAGACGACAAATTGCCAGATCGAATTTCTTTTTCATGCCCTCACGAAACTTAATGAATGAGGACATGACTTGCTTTCTGAAACCACGTGTGTCTAGAACAGTACGGGGGGTGCACAACAGGTCCCTTCAAATACCGCGAATTCATAATGATACCTAAAAGCACTCTCTTTAAATTAGGACAGTCGATGAATGGAACAGGCTCCCTGAAAATGTTGTTAATTGTGACACATCAAAAGCGTTTAAAAATGCTTAATGGAATTATATTATATGTGTTTTTGTATCTAATTTCTTACATTTGTCGCACTTCGTGAGTGGCATGATCTGAAAAGGTGAAGCTGCGATTTGAAGAGATACATCTGTTTGTGTCCTATTTTTTATGTACCACACCTGTAATGCACCCGGCACCGAATGGGGCGTAGAGTATTTGTAACAATAGAAAACAGTCGAGAACATAAACCAGCACCGGCTGGAACTTGATTTTTAGTCATATTGCTCTTTATTCGAGCTTGAGACAAGCCGGCTATAAGGTGGTCGACCCCTTCGGCGATCAAAATAACCGCCAAGATGACTATATAAAAAAAAAAAAAACAAGAAAAAACAAGCAGTGTAAGTATGGGTTTATACGGTCCAAATACGTCTCTGGTCGTACTTACTGAGCTTTGTCGTTGACGGAGCTACTCGGCCATGCTTGTTCATTTCATCAACACCGAAAACGACGCCAATAACTGAGCGTCTGCATGAAAACTAATGGGGAAAACTTAATTTAAGTAAGGAGACAGAATAAAACAACTATTCTTCGTTCACCCTCAAAGGGGTGCGGAAACGAAATATTTGCACTTATCTTTTTGTTTAGACGTGGTTTATATTGTGCCGCTAGCCGAGAAATACTAGCATAGACCAGTGTTACGGGGTCGCAGAAAATTCAATAAACTGATTTTAAAGCGAATTAACAGATTTCAAGATTGCGTCCGGTGGCGATCTGTGAATCTCCGTTGGAATGCCGTCACGTCATGAGTTCATTAAGGCCGGTCCAGACGCTTGCGTTTGAGTGCGTTTGACTGCGTTACGTTGAGAATCGAAAGCGAAACACCGGCACATCTGTGCTTCGTATGAAACATAGAATCCAATTCAAGGAATCATCTTGGCACGCGATATAAGCAACAGGGATGTCCTGGTTTCTCGGAGCCGCAACGCAATCAAACGCAGTCAAACGCAATTGTCTGAACCAGGCTTTAGAACCAGCGGCAGTTCACAGCAGTATGGCTCGCTTGTGGAGTACTTCGTCTCACCTTACCGTGAACTATTGTTAGCCGCGCATGCTAAAAGTACACTGTAGCTAAAAGCGCGAAATGTTTGCTTTGGATAGAGCCTCGGCTGCTGCGCGAGCGCTCGTGCAGTGAGTGCTACCTTCACAGTTAGTCCATGCCAAGGTAAGACGAAGTATTAGCGATGTGCGCGGCCAAAAGCGTCGCTGTGGTCAGCTTTCCACGACTGGCCAAACCATGGGCATATGCGCACTGTCAGATTGTCAACTTTGACGGTGTTAGTTACGGATTGCGATAGCTCCTAGCTTCTACTCTGCTTTTTAAACACACCATCGAACTCGTCGTTGCACCCGATGGTAAGTAGCCAGAATAACAACTGGTGACGTCACGGCGAGGCAAATCCCAGTCGTTATGTCACGGAGGGAAACCATAAGAGGTCGCCACCGAAACATCTCGGTGCTAATAGTCCTGAATGGCGGAGAACGCTAAGGCGTTTACTATACTCTGTTCACCCATAAGCTGAGGCTGCAGCCAAAGCTATAGATGAGCCACCTAACCCGTTCTCATGGCATTGAGACATGGCTTTTTAACGTGAGCGCTCGTTCTGCGGAAGAACGGTTCAGAGCAGCGACCTTGCGCTCTCGTGGCTTGCATAAAGTTTATCATAAAATCGGATAAAAAAAAAACAAAAAAAAAAACGTACCTTTTCAATATACAAGCCAAATAGGCACAGCATTTTTGCATCGTTTTGTCCACTGGTGTTTGTTGTCGTTGCGTAAAAGCGGAACTTCCACGCAGATGAATGGGATCAATTCAAGAAACAGGATCCGAGCGAGAGCAGGATACTGAACCCGTTCGACTACGGCTCAGTCATGCTGTACGGATCGACAACCTTCACGCGAAGCGACGACGTCTACAGCATGACCGGCAAGGACGGGTCTCTGCTTCAAGAAACCTGGGACAAGCCGGGACTCAGTGCTAGCGACGTGCTTCGAGTGAATCTCCTCTACGGCTGTTCGCCCAGTCAGTCCTCAAAGCCTACGCGCAAGTCGAAGAAAACGCCGAAGCCGACCAGCAGAAAATGGAAGCCCAGGACCAGGCCCACTCGCTTGCCAAGGCGGACACCGGGAGCGTGATGAACGAATCTTTCGAGTAATTGTGTATGTGACATCGAACTTCGCGCCTCAGTTGCACAAACCTCGGGTATTGAAGTGGAACAAACCGGACGCTGCCGTTTACGGACTAGTTGGACGGGGTGCGAAATATTATAGAGCGACACGGCAACAATCAAGATGGCTACACAAGCTAGTTGGTTGTTGTTACGTTACATAATAAAACAGAGCTGTTTACATTGGTGACGTACTATTGAAGACGGCAAAGGTTTAATTCCGTAATGCTCGAAAAAAATGTTAATAATCTAGGTGGACTCCCCAAGGTAAAGAAAACATACAAAATATTAATTAAAAAAATAAGCGAAAGAACAGTTTATTCTTGTTTATACCTGATCCGCGTGGGGAGTTCCTCTAAGTGGCAACGGTTGGCATCCGTTTGCTATACTGACGGCTGTCTCCTGACTAGCTTAGTTGGCCCCGCTATAGTCGCTTAAAGCCTAAGAAACTAAGAAACGCGGGGCGTGATTCGTTATGTTTACGTTTCTTGCTTTGTGATTGGGTCTTCATCGTCTGATGCTGCAACCTGATTGGCTGCTGAGTGATAATGAGATGCTTGTGACTCGCCACGCCCCGCATTTCTTAAGCTGCCACTGACTGGAGCCTTGGGGGAAGAGCGGGGGGGGGGGGGGGGGGGTTTTAAAATCGCCGCCCAGACAAGCCGGAGTTTTTCTCAGTGGCGAACAAGTCGCCTAAAGGGCGCTAGTTGCGCTCCATCTCGGGGAAAAGCCAATTTATTATTTTGTCTTGAGAAAGAACAATATATTTTTAAATAAACTAAACGTCTTTTTTTTTTTTTTCGATGGCACAAGGGTTGTTAAGAAGGGGGCGTATAGGCTTTTTGCACCTGACGTCACTTCCGGTTGTCCTTGACATCAAAACCAACATGGTCGTCTGCTATCAGTGCTTTCGATGCAATGTCGGACGCATTCGGCGTCTTAGTAGTGCCGCAGAACCGCTCGCTGCCCCGACGTTTGTCTCGCTCGTGTTTGATAATAAAACAAACTGGTGGCGAGCAGCCGATGGAGCACGGGTCACAATAAGCGTGACTTCTGTTGAACATCTTCGGACAGCAAGATGCGCGCGTGGAGTGCAGTCACTCGGAACTTCAACGCCTCGCAAGAGCGACGTCGGATGCAAAAAAAAAAAAAAGTCTCGTTTAATAATTGCATATACTGATAAGAAAATTACTGCCGCTACCTATAGACCATTCCATTTAGCGCTCTCTGGGCGGCACCATTTTGTTCGACCGCAGCGCCCTCTCCACACATCCGGGAAGTTCAGCGGGTTCGGCGGGGTAAAACGAGAGAGAGGGCACGCGACCGACTCCGCTAGCAGAAGACAAACCGGGAGGTTGCCGTTCTCCATCTTTGGGCTGTATCGGCGGGCTCTACCGAACACCGAACTCTCGCTCGTTGCTGCCGTTGTGAAGTGGTTCGCGTTCTTAGAATAGTTGTGGCTACTCCAATATCAGCCTATAGCTCTCTGTTGTTCTATTTTGCTAAATGATAAACTAGCATATCTTTTTTCCGTTAATTAAATAGCAGTTGAGTCAGCCGGCAGTACTACCCTAAGCTACTGCGTGTATTGCGGCAGGACAGCACGTTTTTATTTATTATTTCAGACTTCCACTCATGGTCGCTAAAGGCCTACACCAGTACGAACTTTTGTATAGTAAAAAAGGTACAACAACCGGATTTTCTTTTCGCCAAAGAGACCGGCCAATCTGACACAGTTTTCCCTATTTTTGTTTCTTTATTTGCACGCAGGTAACAGTGCAATTGGACCCTGTGAGTCTTTTTATCAAGCATAGTATTACACGATAACTGGCATACCAAAATCTGCGCATCTGCGCTTGAAAGTTCCAAAATGACGCGATTTTAAACAGAGTTTGCACGCCAGCCGGACGCTAGCTACAGCCCACTCGGCGGAGCGGACAGCTTGCGGGGGAGAGGGGGAGTGCATTTTTTTTTTCTCTTTTACCCTCTCTGCTATGACCCTAATGGAACGGTCTATACGTGAAATCATTCGGGAATATTATGAAAAAAACTTGTCAACATTGTAGCCGGTTCTCTAACGTTTTGACTGACTACAAAGATGAGGACTTTAGCTGCCGCGAACGTAATTTCGTCTGCTTTACCTGTCCTTGTCTATCGCAAAGAGGTTCCTCACCTGACACAAAGTGCAGTCTACAAACCCTTAGTTGGTGCAAAGCTTTTCTGTCGAGATTGTGGCGGAGTATCCATGGAGCCATTCATGTCGCCGGCGATCCGATTGCTCGAGCGTCGCGTTGTCCAGGTTCCTAAAGACTCTGTTAAGCGCGATCCAAACCAACGCTTCTTTTTGCGGCTGTAGGTCGTGCGCGCCCCGGATGTGACGTATTTCGTGACGTCGCGCCGGTTTTTCGCTCCTTCCGGGCGCGCATAAAAAAGTTGGTTGATTTCAACTTCTTTCTCAACGCGCACAAAAACGCGCGGTGACGTAGTAAGGCGCTCCTGTGTCCCGGCCAATCGGTGGAGGGCAAGCTAGTTCCGGCTCCGCGTTTCTTAACCAACGCGATCTCTCTCTCTCTGTCGCCGTCTGGCCGGCCAGGTGACCGCCATAGTGCGCTCGTGCCTGCGTGCGCGCTTGCCCGAAGCTGGCCCGTCCAAACCAAAGCGCACGGTTCTGACTCAGAAAGCGCGCCGGAACAAGCAAAAACGTAACGAAATACGTCACATCCGGGGCGCGCACGACCTACAGCCGCAAAAAGAAGCGTTGGTTTGGATCGCGCTTAATACTCTGACGTAACGCGCGCGCAAGCAAACGCTGGCCGAAGTCGGCTACGTCACGTCAGTCACGCCGCGCGCGTCAAAAATTCGCCCTCTCTAGGCTCCGGCGGCCCTGGCGACTTCCGTGGCGCGCGTCGGTCATAGAGATCATACATACTAACTCTAGAGGAAAAGTTCCGCCATTTTCCCATGCATTCTGGCTGCCGCAAGCGGCGGATCATGCAGGCAGACCCTCGGGGTCCCACATGGTTACCAACTGCCTTCGATTTCACTAATATATCATCAGAGCAGTGTCATGAACTTCCACAATCCACGAACTTACCGGTGGAAAGATATTCGCGTTCCTTTCCAAGCTTTCTTTTTGCATAGCACGCAGATGTACGACCTCCTGTCAACACAAAACTAAACCAGATAACCGGCATCGGTTATCTGGTTTAGTTTCGTATTTCCGTGCGCGGGTGGCCGCGCCCGGAAATGCGAAACCGCGCAACTACCAGATTTTCGAGATTTCGACAGAAGGGAAGTTAATGCAGCGTATTGAGTATGCTACTTTTTATAAACCTTAGAATAGCTCAGAATTTAGTTTGCAACGTTAAATTATCACTGTTTATATTGCTGAGAGTTTTCAGTCTTCGCGATTACCATTGCGACTGTCGTCCTTCAGCTGGCAACATTGGTTTCTTTCTCTCGTGTTCTGTCGCTCTCTTTCGCGATCTTTCACTCGGGACCCAGGATGTCGGCGCGCGGAGATTCGCCTTGGGTGGACCGCCAGCGCGGCGCATGCGCAGAATCTGGCTACGAGGGCGCGTTTCCTGCGAGAGTGCGCCATTTCCGGTTCCTTCTCGTTTCGAATAGCAGACGAGAATTCTCGCGCTCCTTGAGCGCCGAGTTCGAGCGATGGCGTGGGCGTACCTTGCACGACGAAAACTCGGGCTTGCACTGTTGGTGCACCGCCTGCGCCGCAAGCGTAGGCGGTCAATGTATCTGCGGTACATCTTTGACAAGCGCACGGTCTACGGTACTCAAGCTTCCTCGAGTCGTAGACACTCGGGTGAGGACGAATTCCCTCGATCAGCTCCTCGACGACCGAGACGTCCGATTCTTCAAACATGACGCCACACGGAGTGGTGCTCCCGTCGTCTGCTATTGTTCGTATTCGCCACGAGGGCTGCCGGAGCCAGCGCGTGATGCATCCTGGTCCGACGCGGCCGGAGCGGAATACGGCCTGCTCCATTTTGGCGTCGAGGAGGTCAGGCTGCGTCGAACGCCGCCGGTTGCGCCGGTTACGCCACGACGCCGGCTGCGCTCTCTGGGCGGCACCATTTTGTTCGACAGCAGCGCCCTCTCCATACATCCGGGAAACTCAGCGGGTGGTTCGGCGGGGTAAAACGAGCCTGATTTCAGCTTAGGTCCGAGCGCGGCCGATGTTATGAGCTGATGGGCCAATCAAACAGCGAAAGAAGCCCAACGTCATGGCGTGCTCTCTGCAGTTGATAGGAACGGCTTGTATTCGCCGTCTCTCTGTGCGTGCTCATCCGCGGGCTAGTCCTATCAAGCGCAGAGAGCATACCATGACGCTGCGCTTTTTGGTCTGTTTGATTGGTCCTTCGGCTCATCACATCGGCCGCGCTCGGACCGAAGCTGAAACGAAGTATAGCAGACGACAAAACGGGAGGTTGTCATTCTCCATCTTTGGGCTGTATCGGCGGGCTGTACGGAACACAGAACTCTCGCTCGTGGCTGCCGTTGTGAAGTGGTTCGCGTTCTTAGAGTAGTTATGGCTACTCCAAAATCAGCCTAGAGCTCTCTGTTGTTCTACTTCGGTAAATGATCATCTGACATCTTTTTTCCGTTACTTAAACAGCAGTTGAGTCAGCCGGCAGTACTACCTTCAAGTTCAACTACTGCGTGTATTGCGGCAGGAGAGCACGTTTTTATTTATTATTTCAGACATTCACTCATGGTCGCTAAACGCCTACACCAGTACGAACTTTGTAAAATAAAAAAGGTACAGCCACCGGATTCACTTTTCGCCGGAGAGACCGGCCAATCTGACACAGTTTTACCTATTTCTTTTTTATTTACACGCAGATTACAGCGCGATTGGACTCTGTTAAGTCTTTTTTTTATCTAGCATAGCAATACACGATAACTGGTATACCAAAATCTGCGCATCTGCGCTTAAAATTCCCAAAATGACGCGATTTTAAACAGAGTTTGTACGCCAGCCGGATGCTAGGTGCTGCCCACTCGGCGGAGCAGACGAAATGCGGGCACGAGGGGGAGGGCATTTTTTTTTTTTCTCTTTTTACCCTCTCTGCTATGACCCTAATGGAACGGGTTTTCGCCGACGTAGCGCAGCGCGCATAGATACTGGTTGGTCACAGATATCGAGTTCCATGGTTGCTGACCAATGAAAGGCGCGCGTTCTGCGCTACGCTGCGTTCACTGCGCTCAACGTCAGAGTATAAACAGCCCTTTTATGATTGCCAGAAATCCAAAAACAAAAAAAAAACAAAAAAACAAAAAATACGGAAG